TATAATAATTATCGCGTTGGAATTGGAATGTACGCATAATATGCGCTAGTTATTGACGGAGCAATTATATTCATCAGAGTTTAAGGTCAACTTCTGAATCAGGCGCGAGAAGTTTTTTATATCATCATTGGCGTCGTCAAGTCTGAGTCAAACCAGAAATAAAAATTAGTTTTAACTTGTTTTAAGTCACTAAAGTGCAAATTTGCTCCGCCTATTTTTTAGTACCGTATTTATCCACCAGATGACTCAAAACAGGTTATAAAATTCTAGTAAATGTGCTGAGTATAAAAATGCTAACACCGGAAATGGCCGAAACTAGTTTTAAAGCGAGCGCGCGTCATCATAAAATTAGATTTGCCTCGGTTCATGATTCACGAGATCATTTGCAATTATATTGCGCATGCGCCATAAAAGGTAGATGGGCAACGTGTGCAGAAGTCATCGAAACAAGTTCTTTACAACCCAACCGGAGGTTTTTCCATGGATATTACACCAGTTTAAAGAAAAACACTAAAAAACCGATGCTGGTAATATATGTACACGACTAAGATACAGATTTCCTGAGTCATTGGCCTGTCCACCGTGTCGATCGTACAAGTTTTCAATTTCGTACACATATTACTATATGCATTTTTTTTATTCCGCCGCCTTCGTGAAGAAGTTGTGCGTCGTGCACGCAATCGCAGCTTCCAATCAACATGCGTGTAACTTGCACGCCGCATTTGCATAATTAATATAAATTATTCGCCGACGGGGCGCATCTAGCATCTTCTTCGTCTCCTTCGCCTGGTGAGAGATTTAGAGGCAGGTGTAATTTTGTTATGCAGCATGTTGGATGTCTATGGTGGGAAGCGATTTTTCCGCGTGCCACGCCAACATTAATATTCTTAACCCTGGATAGTATGGTGCTATGAGTAGCGTTGGTTTGTTGCGTTGTTGTTTGTTTGTTGTGTGTTTGGTTGCATATGTGGTGTCAGGGTTAACCTAGCGCGCGAGCGTTACATATCCATTTGTGGCGAATGTAAAATATGATCTATAACTCGTATTCGTACTGGTACTACTGGTTTATTATCTCGTGAGCGTGTTGTGTTGCAAGTTGCAGGTAAATGTCGCATAAATATTGATATACAATGAGTTTGATTTGCATGCGTCGTTTTGCACTTGTCACCAAGCCTAGAAAATGATCTTATTTTTCATATTTTGTACTTTAGTCTGTAAATTTTTAATATTTTGATGTTTTATTATGTATATAATTATTTTTTGCTATTTTTGCTCCGCCCACGTAAGTTTTAGTCCGCCATGTTTAAATGGGCGGAGCAAAAATGTGTTTTTGTTGAGATTTATGTTGTTTTTGTGTGATATTTCATAATCGCAATTACCAATTGTAAATATCATTAATCTTACTGCAGTCGAAATAAATTCTGAACGCGCTACGAATAATCAGAGCACAGCGCAGCCGACGAATCAATCGCGCGCCGATGCAATTGAGCATGTAAAGCCAATAAAGCGCAATCGAAAGTCGCGCAGGCGCGCAATTGGCGCGCTTGTCTCGAATAAATTTCAGTGTTGGTCGTGGCAGCGCCTTCGGTCTCTTGGTCCTTCTTAAATGTTTGCTCTGCTCTTTGAAAGCGCACGCGTTACGACATCAGCGCGCGCGCGCATTTTTCTCTTCTCTTCTCTCCGCAATCTTAAATCAACGGCTAGGGAGCGAGCGATAGCGATTTGTTTGAATTATTCGTTTTGTTTTACGAGCACACGCAGCCAGCAAACAAAAGGAGAATAATAGCGTATAATTGCGTTGTAATATAATTGATTTTGAGCAACGAAGGTAAACATTTGAATTTCGAATGAATGTCTTTGAGTTCGAGAGTTATTAAATCTTATTTATGCGCCTGCGGGGTCTTGGCGCTGCCCGATTACACGCTTCATGATTTCAGCTGTGTGATAATCACTGTTTTGGTATTTTTGTTGCTTACTTTTGGTATTTCGCAATTGTAATTTGAATGTTTGTCCTTACTCGAGCATTCACTATTTTCAAAAATTTACTATAAGACTTAATGATGGTTGCAACCTTAGATACTTAGCATTCAACACGTGTAAAATAAACACGTGTTATACACAATACCAAGAACGCCGCATAAAAATTAAAGACGTGTACAAACTGTTTGATTTCACATTTTGATTCAAACAATGTAAATAACGGAAAAATATTGCTTTACACTGCGCTAAGCTCCGCCCTACATATGTTTTCACTACCAGAGGTCGTTGCCGTCGTGGGCGGAGCAAAAAATACAAAAATACTCATTATTTCGATTTTTTGGCTCTATTCAACGTCAAATATAGGTATATTCTCGAGAATAAAATACTCAACAAAACAAGAAAAGATTCAAACCTAAACCAATCTACATAGAATAGAATCGTGATTTAAGTTTAAGTCAACTTAAGTCTCTTTGGTTCGGTTCGGTTTCGTTTTTTTCCTTGGCAGCGAGAGCGGAAAGGAAACACAATGACGATATAGCCCGATGATAAGCATAAGTGCTCTCAGTGCGCTCGCGTATCGTACGCAAATGTAAAGCACAAGCTCAAGAACAAAAAAAAACGGAAGAAAAACGATTTCAAGCCGGAGAGCTCAACGCTATATATACACCTATAAAGCCACGGATGGATGTATGGATAATATGGAGTTGTAGTGTTGCGAGTTCTTTGCGCGTCGGGTTGCTGTACTCGTCGCGCATTCAATTCGGAGTTAACGCCCGTTGAGTTGAAATCACTCTTCGCGGCCGCGAATTCAAGGTTTTACTTTCAAAACCGTTCATGCTCGGCACAATGTTGGGTTTTGTGTGTTGGTGTGTAGTAAGCGTGATGACGCGCTGCGATTGCTGTCTAAACGGGTCTCCCGGGCAGGACCCACCCAATTGTTGGTCATTTCTTCATTTACCAGCCATGAAAATTACTCATTTACATTTATTTTACATGGATGTATTAAAATTATGTAATTTTTGGACATTTATCATAAGAATTGTGTTTAAAATTGTTATTTTTGCTCCGCCCACGTGTACAGCGACATCTGGTGGTGAAAAGTTTGGGTATTAACTTAAAATTTAATATTTTTATTGTTTTTATGTAAAAATAGTGCCGATTGGTCATAAATCTATTATGTCATCGATGCCTAAAGTGAAAAGTTGTTCAACTCACTTTTTCGTCCCGCTAAGCGACAAAACAAAAATTACCTGCCTTCTACTTCTATATTTATGAGAGCACTTTTGGCTCAATCAGCTATTAGTATGCATATCCACATTAAACGGTCTCATTGCCTCGATATGCAACATTCTAAATTTTAATACGCGTTTTAATACGCGCGCTAGCAGCTGATTGACAGGTTTCAATCATATTTCGTATTCATTCGAAATTTATGTAAATTTCGTCGATTGTGTGCTAGGCATGCCCGACCACGACTCGCCGCTATTATTATTCATGCACAGCTTAGCTCAAATCCAAGATGGCCGCCCGCTAAGCGCCCGCAGATTGCGACATCTTTTGTACGTTTTATTTCATTACTCTGAATGAAACTCTGCTGAACTTAATTAAGCTGCTTTGAGGCGCAATCGGCGTAATGGAAGCCATTAGAAAACCGCTCAAGTTAAGCTCAACCTAACCTTACTTAAGCTGCGAGTAAGTTTCACAAAATTGTTCGCATTGAACACATCAATCAAATTCAGGTTTTTATTGCGACTGGATGTGATTAATGGTAATCGTATGCGATGTGTTGCAAAATAGAAATGACACCTGTTTAATAGTCGCGTTCCTAATTCAGCGATTTATTAAGTAATCATTAAAGTATGTTTACAACCAATTGTTTAAGCAAGCGGCAATAAAATAAACATTTGCGAAATTGATAATTAATGGCAATTTAGGCATAAGACATTTTCATTTTTCTCACAGTTAATAAATAAGTACTAAATTATTAAAGGTTTGACTGTTATTAATTAATAGTTGTCTTTAGTCTTTGTAGCTTACGTAATACACTTGTTGGAAAATGCTTTTTATGGAAAAGCCATCGTACTTACTGCGTATATGCAGATCGCGTCGTAAACAACATCCAACATGGCGTGCAATCTGATGTAAGTGCAAATCCTGCGCGTGCGACGCACGTGCCACGGAAAATGCACAACAAATAGTAGTAGCTGCACATACATATCATAATTAATGCTTAATTGCGTTTAATACACTTGGGACATAGTCGCAATGTTGCGGAATGCAGAATGCAGGCCTCGAATGTTGTATGTTGAATGCTGATCGGCAATCGAACGCGATGTGTGTTTGGATCGCTCAAGGTAAAATTAAAATTCTATCTCAGCTGCTTAGACTGCAAATTAACCGCAATATCATGTATTTTTATTGTGTTGCTCACTACTTTGATTCTAACCAGAAAAAAATCATAAATTCGCTTAAAAACATGAAATTTTTTAAAATAATTTTTACATTTTGTAACATTTCTTCACTTTCAGAAGCTAAAACTAAAGAAATAGTTGTTTGTAATTATACTCGGTAAATTCTACCATAATCCATATAATTTTCTTGAGTGTTGCATTATAAAGTAGCGATGAATAGTGGATGAATGCCAGCGCTCGCCGCATTGAAATAGTTTTGACCTTATATGACCATTGATGATATGCGATTTGTCGACTTCTCATTCACTCGCGAATGTTTACGCAACGCCAAACAAAACCCAGGCGCATGAGTGGATTTAATTCGCAAAGTGCGCACACAATAAAGAATAGTGGAAATAAAATGTAATGAAGCGTAGATAAAAGGGTACATAAGCGAAATAAAACGAAAAGTAAATAAATACTAAGGCCTTGTTCCAAATTCAGGAACTACATTTACCTGTAATTGGATACTAGCATTATTATTATAACAATATAAGTACATTAGTTTTATGATTAGTTTTGTATCATCTCGATTCGAATAAAATATGTTGTTTTGTTGTTTGTTTTCAGATTTTGACATTGCGGCCATATTTAAGCGGTCGCGCCATCTACCAGAGCATTTGTGGCGACATCAAGTGGAGTAAAACGTAAGTAAAATTATGATTAAATTTAAAAATTCACTTGCGAGTGAAGTGACCCGAAGAAATAGTCTGCATTCTGATCGCGGGCAAGTTCCACGCGAGTTCTGCAGGCCAGGCGTGTGCATAGCTTAATTGCGAGTTTTGCGATGTCGAAATGCCTCGCAGTTATTGCTAGGCGAGTATTTGCGGCGCGGCGCAGCGGCGTCGGAAACGCGAGAGTGAAACCAAGCGCGAAAAAAACACGAATAACTTCCTGGATTAGTGTTTAATGTTAATGGCCCAGCGTTTTTATGCTTCCGCGAGCAGGCAAAACCTCGAAAGAAAGCGAAAGAAAGGAAAATTTTAAAGAAATCACAAAAAGTTTTAAATTATTTTATAATTATTATTACTTTCCGGTTGTAAATGATACTATTAAACTGGGTTTAGTGAATTTATTTATTTTAAATTTAAAATCGTAATGATAAATGATCTCGCCCAGATATTGTGCTTATGGCACTTTAATCTTTCGATTAAACCATATGTGGCTTAATTGCACACATTTTCAACGATTTTCAAATGCCACGCGCTGCGAGAAAAGTGCCGGAAACGCGACGTGCGTCTGTGGAATTATTAATCACTGGTTATTTTGACATTTAATAATGAAATCAAATCATTGGCAGGCAACAACGTGATCACAAACATTAAACGCTGTTAGCCACTCGGATAATTTCACATTTCTGCATCGATGGTTATTTCTGGTTACCTGATTGCGCCACAACAAAGACAGCGCCATATTAAGACAAGTGCTCCATTTATTTCCTACGGCTCGTGCTCGTGCACTTGTTGTAGGTACATGCATTTGTTTTTATCGCTTGCACACATCTTGCGTGCGTTTTCTACGTTTGCGAATGTATTTGGAAACGTTTCTATGTTGCAGCCATGCAGTTGTGGCCGATTGCGTAATCTTAATTACATATCATTTGCATTGTGGTCATTAACTGGCCGCGTTTTGGTCACGAAAGAAAACACAAATCACTGACCTTACCGTGAAGCGAACAAAAAAAATCACGTTACAATTTACAATCATCGGTTGCAGCAGCTTAAACAAATATAATTTACTCCGAGAATATCTGAGATTAATTTTTAATTTGTGTAATTATTTTTGGATGTATAATCTTTTTAATTAATCTACGCGCAACTGTGGCCAGTCAAGTGAAAGCACCGAATCGAAATCGAATGATTTATGTTGCAAACAATGCGCTGTAGCGGTGTAGACCTGCAGAGGAAACAGAAAATGTCATAAAATTGTTTGTGTTGCGTGTGTTTTCATTTTTCTTCGATTTGTTACGGGCTTGGCTAAGGCGCACTCCTGGCTTTAATGACACAATGACAAAACAATTACCGAGCACAGCGGCGGCGAGCAACTCGTATGACCGGATGGTTTATTTTCCGCTTCGTTTTTTAGTTTTCTTTGTCGTGAATTTTATGTGGAGTTTTCTTTTATATTGCGGTTAAATCTTCAATTAGTTTTTATATCATCACGGACGTAAAAACATCGTGTCTTGTTTTATGTTCGATTAAAAGTGGAAAAGCAAAAATTTTGTTGGAAAAATAAACTTTCCAGTGTATGAACGGATGTAAGTACATTGCAATTCCTCACACGGGTGTAGAATGACAAGACGCCCCATGTGATCTCGGTGAAAATCATTAACCCATTGCGAAAGCAACGTAATTAGTCGTAGGTAATTGTCGGAAACTAAACCAGAGATTAAAATTAACAAATAATAGTAAATCTTTGTGGAAAGATGCCAATTCATGTTTAAAAACTTTTTAAATTTATTTTTAACTGCAACTTTTAAAAATACCGCTAGTACACTAATGTAACTGCTAATGTAACATCATCATAACGTAATTGCTTTCCAGCTTCCCGAAAACTAATTATCCAAATAAATTAATAAACAAAGGCGAAATTCATTTGCAACTGTTGTACGGACGTAGCTTTTCATTACCATGTACCAATTCCATTCGTTCATTGTCCGCGGACGTTTATTAATCGTCGGCTCGTCCGTAACAAGAAGTAACAACTAACAAATTACGCGTAGCACTCGTTTTGGTAGTGGCTCGCTACTCATCATACCCGTAACTGTTTTCAACCAGCTTTCTTCTTTCTCGGACGCGCGCGCACGCGGAAAGAGAAATTCATTAGCAGCATCTACCAATCGCCATTATTACCGAGTTATTAGTACAAGCGGCAATTAGTAATAATACATTGTAATGCAGCGCTGTATTTATCATCCCGGAGCGGTCGTACTGACAGTCAGTTTCTTTTTTTCGCTGTGAGTGTGTTTGGAAATTAATAGATTCGTTCAGCAGGAAACCGTCAACGAGGTCTAATGATACCTGTGCAGCACAGCGATTGAAACAAAATTGCTTTTAATCAGCAAACTCCGATTTTACAGCTTCGTCAATGTTAATATCGTCGATTTGTACGATAGAAATCGACCAGCACAACAACTTGTTAGCATTTTAGCAGTTAGCTTCCTGCTGGCTTCGGTTTACAGGTTCGCATTCAAATTGTGCACCGATATGGCGTCTAACTGAATGCACACCCACGAGGAACAAGAAGTGTGAGATACGCTTTACACTTGTTACTATTTTGACACAAAAAACTTAAGTATACTTGACTTAACCTTAGGTAGTATAATAATTTGTAATTCTGTGGATGAAAATATGAAATTTGCGAGTATTTCAAGGTTAAGATTTATGTTATGTGCGAATTTTTGCGTTCAAATGCAACTGCAAGAACACAACCTACGTATCCTACGTACGTAAAATCGCTGGCATGTTCTTGCAGCGTTTATCCACCGCATTGCGGTCCATGGCGTTTCCGGTATACGGTTTCAAGCGATAACGGCGGAGATGCATTCGTCGGCGATGCGATCTGCATCCACAGCGGCCCGCGTGGATTTTTTACAGGTCATGGTCTATTCCGACCATGCAGCTACAACCAATGGAGCTGAAACTAAAAATATAGATGGATACTAAATAAGATACAACATTTCTGTAATAAATAAGTTATAAAAATGTCGTTAAATTTTATTGTTGAATATTTTTATTGCTTTATAAGCTTTTATTATGATATTGTTTTTTTTTTGTCATAACTTTTGATTTAGAAGTTGTAGAATATTATGTATGGGATTAATGGAAAGCTATGGTAAGGGAGTTAAAATTTATATAGAATTATAAATAATCGCATATACGGTCTTTGAATTATGAAGATTTGAAGAAGAAAGAAACTAATTTATGACTAAAGTTATTTTGCATTAGTAAAAGCGCAATTAAAGCTGCAATTTAAATTAAATTACGAAGAATATTAACTATGATATTCCTTAAAGAAGAAAATCAAGAAATTTGATGACATTTTTTTATATTTCTTCTGCAAAGTTGAAGGAAAAGTAAAATTGGTTTACTGCCTGATTCAATTTGAATCTAAGTAAATTGCTTTTCTTGTCACTGGTAAATTTAAAGGAAATGACACATACTAATAAGACTAATTTGTTGCGCAAAAAAAGATGCAGTTAATCCAATATTTCCTGCATTAATGCCATTACAGTCTCCTTCCAGCGTAGAAAATTGCAGAATTACGCTTTAAATTCACCTGCAGCTCATACATTCAAGTTCAACTGCATTTAATGTCCTTTTTTAGCCTTGAAATTTATTACATAGTTTGTAATTGTTTTTCGTCATTTCCCAAGCGGGTTTTTAGTGGAGTTGTGAAATTTAATCAAACGGTACATTCGTGCATCAAGCCGCGCGTGCGTACCTCGTAAGTCAACGGTTAAGTCTCTAAATGCGACGCATCACGTAATGATGAACGCGGGATGATGAAGATTTATAGACGATTTAAATGACCGAAAGATCAAAAGCGACCACAGACGCGAATGACCGACGCGACCGTGAAAGAAAATGGATCTAACAAGAATTTATATCACGCCTTTACTATGTTGGCGTCCAGGTTCTTCTTGCCTGGGCATTTAATGTTTCTTCGTTCGTTACGCCTGTCTTTTGATGCTTTCTAATCCCGATCCGATGCAACGCGGATATGGACCTGCGACGCAAACGCATCTCGACTGATATTAGTTTTTTTCTTCTTCTCGCACCAAAGAAGAATGATGAATGGAAAAGTTAATGCAATGCAACTTTATAGAACATATTAATTAGATTTGCCTGCAATAGAGTTTGTTGTTGTTGGTGTCGTGCGTGCAGAGGATATTTGCAATATCAAATTCGAATCGGGAATAGGCGGATCGGAATGGGCGGCCCACACGATGTTGCAACATTGCAGGACATGAAAGAGATACGGCTACGAGTGGTGTATTCTGTATCGGCAACAAATGTGTTCAACTTTATTGCCACTACGTCCTAAAAGGACAAAAGCTATTTGGAAGTTTCTATTTTGTGCAATTACACATCGATATTGCATCCTGTTATACATAATCGTATTATATGCGCAACGCATAGACGTTGAACAACTTTGAGGCGCTATAACAAACGTTTCAAAAGTCGTAGAATATTGATCGAGATATCATTAGGAAGCTAATTTAAAGTAGAAAATGTTCTATTTGTGTCAATAGTTTATATTCAGCCATTTCCTTTTTATAAAGGTTTAAATGAAAAATTTGCAAATTTTATGAAAAGAATGAAATGTTTTTGTTGCTTACTTTGATGCGTTATATCAAACGATTCAAAAGTCGCAGAATGTTGATCGAGATATCATTTGGAAGCGAATTTAAAGTAGAATCAATTCTATTTGTATCAGCAATATATATTCAGCCATTTTCTTTTTATAAAGGTTTGAACGAAAAATTTGCAAATTCAATGATATGAATGAAATGTTGTTATAGTTGTTCACTTTGAGGCGCTATAACAAATGTTTCAAAAGTCTTTGAATATTGATCAAGATATAATTAGGAAGCTAATTTAAAGAAGAATCAATTCTATTTGTATAAATAATCCATATGTAATCA